CCYWTTTATCTCTAGAAGCATTCATTTGAATGGCACCAGCCTAGAAGGACGACAAAACCAAGCAACGATCGTGGCTGCGAACCCTACTCATGGAGCCCACCCCACCATGACCTTCATGGATCGGATAATGCCAGCCGACACAACGTACCTCCCAGAACTTGGCTCCAATTTGGTTACCACATTGGCCAGCTTGTACGTGAACGATTTCTCTCATCTTGATACTAKTTTCTATTTATTGTACTGTTATAGCAACAACAAGTGTWAATTTGGATGTGTTACTAGTGGATGCCTWTGCGTGGTGCATTGAGAACTCACTCAGCAGTTGGGCCCTACATTTAGATGCTGCCAATGGATTACTGGCATTTCGCGACAAAAAAACGCGCTAAATGACGCCAAATTAGATCCGCATTTTTCCCTGGCCTGGCCTGCTCGTCTATCTTTTCAAAAAATAAATAGGTGCTCTATGGCGCGATGCTCACGACCTCGAATTTTTGGGGACTACGGTACCTCACACGACTACATACAAAAAGTACGAGTCCGGCAACCACAAATACTTTCCTCCAGAYTCTTCAGCAGTCGTGCGTTGAGAATAACGTTCCACGCGCAGTTCGCATAACGTACCCGTACCGTTCGTGCCGTACCGTACTCTCCCTTGTACGCTACTACGAAGTGTCCTCTACGAGTAGGGGTAGGTGACAGTACCCAGTACCGGTACGTACCCAAGTACGTTCGAAGTTAAGCTGACCGTACGGTAAGTACGGTACCGTAAGAGAAAATTCGGCAAACCATTGAAATAGGATAATACATATGTAGCATATCCTAATACTCTAATACTGATACATTGTAGTTTAGCTGTCCTTGGAGGTWGTACTTTACGTACCGGTACCAAGGGCGTTTCGTCCCTGCATTGCGCGTGATTTTTAGATCAGATACGTTTTCTTGAGCTCCTAGTCACACATCCTGATGATTCTGATCGTCAGCTGAAGGAACTGGCAGGGAATTGTTGGTGACTCCTTTYTGTCCCTACTAGAAATAGCATTTCTTTCCGCCATTAACAAACGATGGCTATCGAAGGAGTTGGGGATAATTGGGAACGACAAGATGACGTTGACGATTCGAACGGAACGGCGTCGCAATTGGCATCTACGAACGCTGCCGATCTTTTTGAAGAGCAAGAAAAAGCCTTTCAATACATCCGAGATCTGTGTGCTGAGAGTCCAGATGGCAAAGATTATCGGTACAATGATCAAGCTTTGGTGAAACTGAGATCAATCTTTGACAAGTACCTCGAAATGCCGTCCCTTTTGGATCATCATCTTGTCAAACTTGTAGACACATTAACCGACGCAGCGTGTTCCCTACTTGGAGCATCAACGTTAGAGCTYCAAGCCACGACTAGCTCCAGTAATAGCGACGGAAATAGTAAAGGTGAAGATGAAGATACAACGCAAGACACGACCAATAATGCCGACCACGATTGGTTCTGGGATTCGCCACTACCTCGAATTCTATCTGCAATGTATGCTTTGTCCAAGGTGCGAGGGAGGAAACGTGTGCAAAAGTTCTTGCCCCACCAAGTGGAAAACGTGGAGCCGGTCCTCAACTGCCTCGTCGTACTAGATGGTTTGGCAAAAAAACAGAGAACAAAGGGATTTGTTTTGGGAGAAAATTCCATCGATGACGACATACCAGGAGGACCACAACTCTGGGAGTCAACGTACACTTTATGGAACTGGATGGAGATTCTCGGGAAAGTGCCATTTGATTGTGAGGTTGTCATTGACAGATCTCAGGTAACAGAACTTCTTCGATTGGCCACCTCGCACCTCTCCGAAACGGGACCAACGCGAGAAATGGCGGCTTCCTGTTTGGCTCGTTGGTTGACCCGACCTGACTTGGAAGAGAGTGAATTTCGAAGTTCCTTTCAACATTGGTCTATGAACATACTAGGGGATTACGTRGGAGAAATACGATCTTTGAAAGAAGAAAGAACTAATGGTGATCCAGCGGTGTCGATTCAAAGCAGCACATTCACGACCATGGGAGTCTTGCAGACATTGGTCACGATACTCAAAATATCAACCTCCGATCGCGAAAAAGTTTTGACATCAATCAGGTCCTATTGGCCACTCATTGAGAGGATTCCAGGCGCTAAGAATCGACCATCTAATTTGCTTTTACGAAAGTATCTCGTGAAGTGGTGGGCAAGAATTGGAGTCCTTTATTTGCCACCTCGCATTGCGTCTTGGCGATACCAAAGGGGTCGTAGATCCTTGAAAAGAAACTTACAACGACAGCTGCAACATAACAAACGAAATGAATCACTGCCGAAAGCAAAAACAATTGCTACAACGGAAGAGGTGAACTACAAAGACAATCCGGACTACTTCTTTGCAGTCCCTGATAAGGTTGAGATTTGCATGGAACAGCTGCTTGTTTCCCTGAAGGATACATCCACTGCAGTAAGATGGTCGGCCGCAAAGGGAGTGGGGCGTGTAACCGAAAGGTTGCCCGCAGTTTGTGCAGAAGATGTCATTGACGCTGTAATGGAATTTTTTGACGATATGGAAAATGACAATGATTGGCATGGCGCATGTCTGACGTTGGCGGAACTGGCACGACGGGGTTTGTTGTTGCCACATCGACTAAAGGATGTAATCCCCAAAATTGTGGAAGCGATTCATTATGACTTACCTCGCCGTCGGACAAGTGTTGGAGCTCACGTTCGAGATGCTGCTTGCTATGCGTATTGGGCACTGGCTAGAGCATATTCGCCTCGCATTCTCAAACCATTCGTACAACAACTTGGACAATCGGTAGTCGTTGCTTTTTTGTTTGACCGCGAAGTTAACTGTCGACGTGCGGCAAGTGCCGCTTTTCAAGAGATGGTTGGTCGACAGGGAGCTCATAATTTTAAGAATGGCATCTCGATATTGACAGTTGCTGATTACTTTGCGTTGGGGAATCGAAAGGATGCATATACCGAAATCGCCTTACATATCGCTCAGTACGAAGAGTATCAAACAGCAATAATCAACCACCTGTATCAAGTAAAAGTATCACACTGGGATCCTTCCATTCGGCTCCTAGTATCCCAATCACTCAACAAGCTGACTCTAGTAAATCCTCGCTTCATGGTGGACAAAGTTGTCCCATACTTACTTGAGAGCTGTTTAGACGAAAAGAACCTACAGTTGCGTCATGGAGCAACCTTGGCACTAGCAGAAATAACATTTGCCTTCGGCCGGATAAACCAGGACCAGTGCGGCTTGTCTCCGGATCTTCAGAAGTTAATTGCAGAAACAGTACCTATTATTGAGAAGAAACGTCTATACAGAGGGAAGGGGGGGGAGCAAATGCGAGCTGCTGTCTGCCGATTGATTGAATGCATTGCGATCTCGCACATCTATTTGACGGTACCTCAACAGGTGAGGTTACTAGATTCCATCGACGCATGTCTACCTCATCCAAACCAAACAATTCAGGAACATGCTGGTGATGCGTTATTTGCACATACACGATCGTACTTTCCTGTTAGTTCGAAAGGCCCTTCTCCTCGTCTACAAAACCGAGTAGTCGACAAGTATGTCAAGGCGTCGCGAACAAACATTAACCCTGCAGCGACGAGGGGATTTTCCTTGGCCCTTGGGCGACTTCCTCCAAARCTCCTTGCTCCTTCTTCGGAGGTTCTCGATATGACTTTGTCTTGCCTTTGTCGAATTTCTCGTCCTGCCGCGAGAGTTGGGACTGAAAAGGATGCAGAAACACGCAAGAATGCACTCGTCTCTCTTCGTCGTGTATGCGAAAATGTGGGTATAAWTCCAAAACGAGATGAAAGCGCGTGCATTGTTGGACTTTCTAGGAAACAATTGAATCATGTTTTTACTGCTTATGTGCGAGCGATGGAAGATTATAATACTGATCAGCGAGGCGACGTTGGGTCCAAGTGTCGTTTAGCAGCAATGAATGGACTTGTTAGTTTGGCAGTTTTGACAACTACCCAGAATTGTTCAGAAGGAGTCAGAGCAACGTTTTTCTCGAACCAATTGTGTACCCAAATAATAGGATTGTTTCTGAAGCAATTCTCAGAAAAACTTAACTTTGTTCGATGCGAGGCTGCAAAGTGYATCTTGGCCCTCCTTGTTGACAACATTTCAGTCGGAAAGTATGTGACAAAAAGACAAATGCTACTAGATGCTCTGACACCTCCGAGTTTCGATGGCGCCTATCAATCCGTGAATTGGGCYGATGCATCAATCACATATCAAATGGTGATGAAGGCTGCTGAAATCGACGAATACTTCGAGTATGTTATTTCAGGTTTGATACTCAGCACTGGTGGATTGACAAAAGCTATCAYAGAAAATTCTTCACTTGTGTTAATCCAATGGGCTCGTAACGTCGATGAAGTCAAGCTTCGACGCTTGGGAGCAGGTAAGCCAATCATGTATTCGATTTCAAAATAGAAAACTGCAGGAATCGCTTTATTCGAACACTCTTCGCCTTGCTAATCTTTCCTTTGGATTGAAGTTTTCCTTGATATTTTCGAAAAGCATCAACACGAAGGAAGGGTTGTTCTTCCGCTATTGAAAACTATTGATATGCTGATGAATCGAGGATGCGTAGAATCTTTAATAAATGAGAGATCMTTCTCCTCATCCTTACTTGAGAGGCTTTGGGAAGAATCTCAATCGTGTAATGACGTAAAGCGACTGACGGYGATCCTCAGTGTTAGCACAGGTCTCATTGTTTCTGCCAAAGGTAGCAAAGAAGCTTTGACATTTGTCTGCAAATTTCTTGAACACGAATATCCACGAATACGAAGTGTTGCAGCAGAAAAGCTCTACGTTCGGCTGTTGGAGACTGACCTTGAATTAGGAGGAGATCATGCCGCAACCAGAATTCTGCTTGAGCACAATTGGGAATCGGACTTCACTTCAATCCAAGGAATGGATCGGACTACTGCCATCCAGGAAGTGACGAGAGCGTTTAAAATTGAAGATGGGATTTTGTGACTTTCATAGAATCCCTTTGTTAGGAACTAGCCTCCAAGTAAGCTTCAACACATAATGACAAATAGAGATGAATATACAAGACAACCATACTAGAATGGGGGGAAATYGCAATATATTGTGAAAATTTTGTAAGAGATCTTTCAGTAGGTATTAGTGTAATACTAGATTCACTTGTGTGTTGCACTTCAGTTGTTTGTTGCTGAGGAAATGGTGATCTTGTTCTTGCTGTTCTTCTGCAGGTGGTTCTTGGAGGTGCAAGATGACATTCAACAATCACCAGAAGCACTGATACTACTGCTGGTACTAGCTAGTGCAAGTACTAGTACTACTAGAAGTAGTAATAAGCATTGGAAAATGTAGTAGTGCTGGTACTTGTAGTGTACAGTGGGTGGACAAAGAAGAAGTACTTCTTGTAGGCAGTAGAGGACCCAGATCTGGGCTTCTTGTAAGTTTGTGGGAAAATAAAACATGGGGGGGCAATATTRTAACACACCTTGTCATACAGTATGCATGGTTACTATTGTTAAATTTTTCTTTGATTGGGCCATYCCCATAAACATTGAAATATGTCATTTTTGGACCGGCCAGCTCTTTTTATGCATCAAAATACATTAGTAATTTTGGTTGTTGTGGGCCCATGACAACCAGCAGGATCTGTGTATGGAGACATATTTTTATTGGAATCCTGGACTTAACATTTTCAGTGTGACTGGGGGCATGGGCACTTAATGATAGTATGTGTGCTGAATATATTGGGATTCCAAATTCCAAAAATGGGCAGAAATATGTAATTTGAGCCAGCCTGCCATGCCTTTAGTACCACTGAAAGTGATTCCCGATTACATACCTGGATATACTATGTTTACGGGAAGAATGACCCATGTTATTTGGTGATTCCTGCTGCTATTGTAGAAAACTAAACTGCTAGATTTAGCATTTTTAGCAATTTGTAATGTCCGGAATCAAAATTTCAAGGGACAGACAACAAGGAAGGCAGGCTTCATCTCAGTCTTTTTGAGAATCTGGAATCTTAAATACTAGTTTGTAGTAGTGACAAAAAAGAGGTCTTGGTAGGTACCGGTCTGTCTTTCTGCTGAATCCTATAAAATTTTGATTCTTGGGTTCCATCATAGATCTAGCACATTTTGGATGGAGTCCAATGACCCATTCAAAAAATGCTAAATCTATAATAACATGTAGTAATAGATATTTGGTCTGTCTGTCTATCAAATTTAACATTTCTATTATAACAGGAATCACCCATTTTTTAACCAGAATCTCAGACCTCCACTCAAATTCTGTGCCAATGGGCGGGGTTTTGTTTTGGGGAATTTCTATGGGCAACCTGCACATATAGTTATTGTACCCCTATCCCCATTGTTATAGTACTGTACCTGCCGTACTAGAAAATACTACCTCCGTTCCTAAATAATGGTACAGTGGTTCTTTGCCCTACTACTTGAAATTTTCCAAAATAATGGTGCATTATTTACTTAACAGATTTTGGAGTTTTTGGCCATTAGATTCCACAAATGACTGTGCATGACTGTGTACAACATGTAGAATCAGTACAGTAGATAAAAATGAGCATGCGCGTGAATAAAAATTAATTATATTTTTCACACATGAAAACACAATCTATTAACATGGCAAATAAAGTTTGCACTGACAACAATGGTACCAGGCACCTCCATTGCACAAGAAAGACCAATACAAGAAAGGTCTCCATATTGAAGAGAAGAATTAAAGCCTCATAAATGTGTCACTCTTTGCTAGTATCACCATGTGTACTAGTACTAGTACTAGTACTAGTAGTACTAGAACCACCACCCAACTGATTTCATTTTCCTCATACTAGTAGTACTAGTAGTATTGATAAGAAAAAATAGGCTTGTTTAAGTTACTGCTGCAAGTACATCAGACACTTCCACTAAATATGATCTACTATACAACTGTATACATATAATAGATCTGTTTAACAAAAAAAGAAGCAGTCAAATCTCCCAAATATTGAGCTTAATCCAACCCGAGAGGTGCAAACTGTAACATTATTTAGGAACGGATGTAGTACAGTAAGTACGAGGTCGTACTCGTACTTCAAGAATGTTGGCGAGTTCAGCGAGGTCAAAGAGTAAAATTATTTGAGTCCCGTTTTTAATCTTGATCACGCGAGTCGTGGTTTTCAGTTTTCGAAAACGCCTGCAGTCCCGAATCTGACATTGGCCTGCGCAAACGGCAAACGGCGGGCAAGTTCTCCTGGCCACCGTAGAAAACAAGAATTTCGAAAAATCTATGATTTCCATCACAAAATCACATCCATTTTTGTCGTCGAGCAAATTTTACCGCACACGGAACAGAAAAGAAACAACGATAAGGCCACAGATTACAATTACCAATATCATATTCCTATCTACCGTACGCARCACAACACAAAGAGAAAAATGACGACCTGTTGCAATAAATTCACAAGAATGTGTACCATTTTTACACGAGTGGTGGCCATTGCGTACGCCACGTTAGCTGCTTTCACTTTCCTGGAAGCCCGGGATTTGGCACAGTCGGACGGTTACCAATACGACTCAGACACAGGCATCGTGTATGTTCCGCTTTTGCTCTGTGCTCCACCAAGTGTTGAGAATGACGGTTCGTCCCTRATTATTTCATCCGATAGCAATTGTCGCGACATGAATTACCTCGTCAGTGCACCCTTCGTCTGCTCTGCATGCTCAGCCTTGGCATGTGTATTTTTTGTGATCATGGATATTCTAGCCCGTTTCGGAAAGGGTCCTTTTAGCATGTCGGCAGTTGCAGGGATGGGTCTTTACTTGGTAGTWATTTTGGTCCAGTCTGGAATCAGTACGGGAGCACTGGTTGAGCAAAATATWTATTGGGTGAATTACATGCAAGAATATCTCGACGAGCAAGATTTCGACGGGACAGCAAAGTCCTACGCAAACACGCATATTCTAGTTAGCTCAACTGGTTGTGCCTTTGCGGCTGCATTCTTGATTTTGATGGATGCGATTTTGTATCGATGGAATGAAAAGAGGCAAGCTGCTATCGAAGATCAAAGAATTGTAGATTTTGTGCGGGCGTCCCAGGCCAAGACGGAACTTAGAGATGATGCTAGCATTGATCACGACATCAAACAGTCAACAACAGTTGATACGCTGATTGATACCATCGAAAGTGGMAAATGTGCTCCTCCCGATGCCAGCGAAACAACAGGAATACCTCCATGGGTCTCGCCGTACAAACAATAGTACACGARAGACTCGACCAAAATCAAAGCAAGCCTGCAAAAGTAATGTATATTAACAAAAAAATCATTGTATCACCTTCATTAGATTTCTAGCTTGATTTCAAAAATTGGATGCAAAAATATGCGTCACTGATCTGATCCACTGACTWAATAAATACAAGCTTCGGCACGATGGAAATTCGAAGCATGTCAGCATTTTCCATCGCATTTGGATCCACGGTGTTGCTGGCTGTGAATAATGATTATGCTCCTTCGTCAAACTGGAAAACATGACAAAATTATTCGTTCCTGTCACATTTRTCCGAATCAGGGTATAGGCTTGATTACTCAACGATAATTACCACCGAAACAAGCTGAGAAACGAGCGCCGTAATCGCCTTCCTGTTCTAATCCCGCTCTTTCATCGAGATAACTCATATTTTGTAGSTTTGTGTGCCGGCCTAGRTCAAATTTAAGTTGATCAAATTCTAGTCGATCAATCGTTTAGCAATCCATGGAAGATGCTTTCCGTTCGATTCCATTCAAAACCCATATGTTGCACCATTGACTTGTTCCTTGGTTCGCCAAGAACCAAAGAAACCCCATCCAATGTTCAGCGCACAAATAGCCAATTCAAACAACATAGATGATTCTGTGGGCCCCTCGTATGAGTCTCCCAAGAGGGCATCGAGGGGAGGTTCAAATCCAATAACGTAGCGAAGGACTAGCGTGGAGACCAGAGTCAGAGCAGCAACAAGCGCAGGAATGCGCGGATTGCATGGTAGAAGTCCCTCTTGAGTAGCCCCCGCCGCAAGCGACGAAACGACAAAGAAGCTTCCAAGAAAGAGACCATCCTGTGCAGCGAAGAATCCCACCAGGTACATGTATCCATACAAGTGGCTGATGACCTCATCGTTGTAGAAAAAATTTCCCTGGTTGGGTTTGTTGTCGCGGGGCGTCGAGAGCATTGCGAAGGCGACGTTGTTATTTTCGTCGATGTTGGCGTCATCGAAGTCGTCGTCAATCTTCCTCCCCCGAAGTGCGGCATTGCGCACTTGCGATGYCGTGGAMGATGGCAGTGAATTCGGAGTGGATGAACATTTCCCGGATAATTTGAATTGTCCTGGAAAGGAAGATAGCGATAGCCTTTCCAAATGCGGGTTGCTCGAACGAACGAAGGCTTTGCTGCTGTGTGGCAAGCATGAAATGCCGAGAAGAATTGGAAAAAGAACAACACTAACGATATCTGTTCTCATGGTTGGTAGTTGATTCTTCTTTGTTTCTTCCTTTGATAGGTCGGATTCGATTTCACTATGCTTTCTGCGGTTATATCGTGAGATGGTGGTATCCGAGGTGTTTTGTTCTGTACAGATGCTTGCTGCCAACATCGACTGAAAAAGTGTAGAAACAATAGAGAAGATTGGAGTTGGAGTTTGTCTTCCAATACGCACCGGTACCACTACCGTAGCGTAGCAAAATGAATCTACGCAACACAGGCGCGAAATCCGTAATCCCTATGGTTTAAAATCCACAATTTGGGGCCTATTGTAGTACTAGCTAGTACTATTGAAATTATGTTCAAGTAGTACTAAGAGTACTAGTACTAGTAGTACTAGAACTACTATGGAAATTATGTTCATTTTTCAATAGTAAAATAGTACCACAAGTATCAACTTGTTAATATCAAACAAAATGGTATATTCAGAATCAGCATTAAAAACTGGACTAGACTGGCTACTCAAAAATTAAAATAGTAGCATTTTTGACAAAGCTGTAACTGCTTAAAGGTTGGATAGTTTTACTAGTATTATGAAGTAAAAATGAGAATGAAAAAAATCCTTGAGGGACTTCTTGGAAATTTGGACCACACGTGGAATATGAGTTTCTCTTTTTTTCTCATGCTTCTTTCTAGATGCACAAAAACTTTCGATTCGCTCCCCTCTAAATTATGACCCCTGCCAGTACAACCGGGCACGTARTAAAKGTAGTGGGACCGACTTGCGAGCGCTGCCTTCGTAAATCTTAACGGTCGGAACCAAAATACAGTGAGTAGATGGAGCTATGGTAGTAATGCCGATGCCTCKKGAGATACGACAGCAACAACYAGTAGATACCAACCTCTCCGGTAGGAAAACAATAACAGAAAACAATCAGTTTCAAATATGGTCAAACGAGCCTCATTCGAGGACCGCGGAGGAGGCGGYGGTGACAAGCGTCGCAAAAGCAACGACGGCCGGGCGATAAATCGCAGCTCCGGAGGCAGCGACGGAAGCAGCGTGTTCGTAGGAAACCTGAAGTATGAAACAGCATGGCAAGCCCTGAAGGATCACATGCGCCGTGCGGGAAATGTCGATTCGGCCAATATCTTGCAGGCACCAAACGGCCGCAGCAAGGGCTGCGCCATCGTAACCTACCAGCATCCCAGAGAAGCCAAACGCGCCATCCAGGAACTCAACGAAAGCGAACTCGAGGGACGAACCATTTTCGTTCAGCCTGACAATGGAAACCCCCGTGACAATCGCGATCGCACCAACGATTCGGCGCATTCTATGGATTACGGTGTGTTTGTAGGGAATTTGCCGTTTGAGTGTTCATGGCAGGCACTCAAAGATTTTTTCAAATCCTGTGGTCCCATCGAGAGAGCTGAAGTAATGGAGGATCCAAAAACGGGACGAAAAAAAGGATTTGGTTTGGTTTATTTTGCTACGGAACGAGCAATGGAAAACGCGATCAACAAGTTCAACGGAAGAGACTTCCAGGGACGAACTCTGGAAGTCCGCAAGGACAAGAAGTCGTCGTCGCATACCAAAATCGACAACGGTACCTCCAGCGAAGCTGGTGGATTCAGAATATTTGTTGGAAACCTGGATTTCGATTGTTCGTGGAGAGACCTGAAGGAYTTTGCTCAAAGACAATGTGGACGGGTGGAACACGCAGATATCCCAAAGCGCGGCTGGGGCATAGTCACATTTGCCACTCATCGCGATGGAGCCGAGGCGATACGCCGATTGGACGGACTTATGTTTCAGGATCGAAGATTGGAAGTCCGCTGGGATCGCGACAGCAGTAACAGAGAAGATCGCCCCAGTTCGTCGTCGTCTTCGTCCTCGAAACAGCTCTACGTTGGGAATCTCACTTATGATTGCACGTGGCAAAATCTGAAAGACGCTTTCAAACGTTTCGGAGCCGTATCTCATGCAGAAGTGTGCGAAACTGCTAGTGGAAAAACTACCGGGTTTGGAATTGTCGCCTTTGTCAAGCCAAACTGTGCAGAGCGAGCCATGAACGCCATGGATGGTACCGATTTTCAGGGGCGAAAGCTGTCTGTTCGATGGGATCGCAAACCGGAGAAGTTGGAAGCCGAGAAGAGTGGCAACCCAAACAATGCCAGACGCGAGCAAAAACGTCAAAGTGCACCAGTGTCTCAAAACAACGAGAACGGCAGCGGCAACGGCAGCGACACTGGTATGGAAATGGAAGGAAACCCACTTGACAGGGCGCTTTCTAGTGGAAGATGAGCACCAAAATTTATCCATTTGCATATTGCTGCCATCCGTGTTTCAGTTAATGGGGGTGTCGCAGGTCATGAATTTACTTTGAAACACTCCAAATATATAAGATATCGCTAAAAGGTGTAGACTTGTCACAAAGGTACCGCTGACCTAAGCCAAACAAAACAAWACAAAAGGAGGTACAAGAAGAATAGGTGAAAATCTATACAAACAATCAGAAACATTAAAATACTGTACAATCTAAGTTTACTAGTACTACTAGTATTTTTTGTGTAGTTCAAAGTAGCAAACTATTTTTGATGCAATCCCAATTTAGAATTAAACAGCAGAAATTACTGAATTAAGAAGTTATTTTTGGTTTTCATTACCTTGTTTGTGGTATTACGGTACCGGTACACTACAAGGAAATTGTGTTGATTGGTACAGACAGACAGGCTGGGAATTTGAAGAGAGACTTGGTTACATTTTTTCAATACTACTAGTAGCAGTAAGACTACGTACGTACGTGCTGGTACATAAAACCAACGGCGGCAGCATTATGACGTTACGTAGTACGTAATCGTACGTCTCAGTTCGTGAGTTGGGGTTGGGCTTGGCGTTCTCTACTCTRCGTACCCTACGTACMGTATGGTACAGATCAGAGGCTCCAGGAGGAAACATGTGGGAAGACCGAAATTTTTCCTCAACTTCAAATTTTTTCGACATRTGATAGCGTAGGAATTGGTACATTTTTGACTCAGTCTCTCGAAAACTTGTACACGCATTTGGTTTCACTCGGTGGACGATCGCTGTGTTCTCCGTCGTTTTAGCATACGGTAGTAGTAGAGTGGGGATGTCACAATTACAAACTTCGCTTACTAACGCACCGGTAATGCATAAGAGCATTACGTACCTGAGATATTTGGAATGCATTGTCCAATAGTCAGGACAGAAACAAGAACAACTACGAGTACCTACCAATTGATTTCTGAATCAAGATGATGCGAAGACTCTCTATCACTTCCGAATCCGTTCGGAGTTTGGAACTCGGCGTGGACGACAAAAAGATAGAAGAATTCGACCGCAAAGAAGGCTTGGAAAGTGAAAGCCACAATTTTCATCTATGGGAGGAAATGAAGTTGCTGCTAAAGATAGCTGCACCGGCTGTCGTGGTTCAGTTCTCGATTACGTTCATTTTTCCTCAGACGGCATCCGTCGTTGGCCGAACGTTGGGAACCGAGGCTCTGGCGGGATTTTCCCTTGGGAGCCTCGTGGGGAATCTTACTTGTGTGAGCATCATGACTGGAGCTTTGACAGCGGCTGATATTCTGATGCCACGAGCTTGGGGAGCGAAGAATTATGAAGAAATGGGAATTCTTGCAATCCGAGGTGTCATCATTTGCAGCTTATTCCTGGTGATTCCCGTTATCCCGTTATGCACAAGTATGGAATGGATTTTCGATAGATTGGGTCAAGACAAAGATGCTTCCTACCTTGCCTCACAATGGATTCGTTTTTTTTTAATCGGAGTTCCATCCCAGCTTCTAATTCGCGTGGTTCAGTCTTTTCTCAACTCTCAAAACCAGGTATACCCAATGGTTTTTGCCTCAGTTGTCGCATCCTATGCCGTGCATCCAATTTTGCTCAAGACCTTGGTGCCGACAATAGGGGAAAACGGATCTGCCATCGCTATATCTTCGACACAATGGCTGATGGCTGGTCTTCTCTTTGTGTATCTTCGCTTCAGGCCAGTAGAGAAACCAGAGACGTGGCCAAGTCTCTCCCTTGCATCCCTTTCGAAAGCGTTGAGCCCAAAACCAATGCTCGAATTCGTTAGTTTGAGCCTTGGAGGAGTTCTGACTCTGTCCGAATGGTGGTTGTGGGAGACTGTTTGCTTTATCGTGGGTACATTTGGAGTCGTTCCTCTCGTGGTTCATACCATTGCTTACAATCTCGTGCCGCTTTTGTTCATGCCGACGCTSGGCATGTCCATTGGTTTGACAGTCCGTATGGGACACATAATCGCCTATGATATTGTAAAGGCAAAATTGTTGGCGATATGGTGCATGCTCTTCACCGTTGTTTTTGGGGCAATCTTATCAACGTCTCTTTACATCTTTCGGGTCGAAATCGCCATGCTTTTTACCGATGACATCGAAGTCGTTGAAGGATGCAAGGCAATTTGGGGGAAAYTATCTTGCTACGTCTTCGTGCTTCACATTTTTGGGATCAACTCGGCAATATTACGAGTTCTTGGACTGCAGTGGCGGATGGCAATAATCATTTTTGGCTTTCTTTGGTTTGTGACGCTGCCTTCCATAATCTTCTTYGCGGTCCACAGAGGAGGGGGCTTGTATGCGGTTTGGAGCATTCTGCCAATCTTTTACACAGTGATGCAAGTGCTTCTAGCCTTTTCCTACCTTACTGCTGATTGGGAATCCATTGGAAAGGAAATACACGACCGTGCACACGGAGAGCAATCGCAAAAGGTACCAACAACAGAAGATGAAACAAAAGCGCTGTTACCGTCAGAACAGAAACGATAGCCACACATTTGGTAGAGAACAGAGTCAAGCTTCGTAGCTGGAGTGTGATCCCTCATTGAAAATGGAGTGCCACACCTTGGTGTGGTAATTYGGGCCTTCTTTTGTCATCCGTAATGCTCATTAGGTTAAATGTTAGATTTAGGCTTTTGAACAAGATACCTTGCCTATGAAAATTATRCTTCAAGAATATCATGAAGTGTAAGTATTGATGATTGATCCTTCAACACTAAGAACTTTCCCCCAAAGCAGCTAGAATATTCCTCAAGATTGTGAAGCTAAAATCAAGCAAGATGGGTGTGCCATTGTTCAAGAAGAGCAAAAGCAATGTCGAATATTTCAAGAGATGGTCACAGTCCAAAGAGATTCGCCGAAGTTATTCAATGAAAACTTGTCCAGACTTAYCTGRAGCTGAGAACCATAGAAGCATTTGGTGATAACAGCTTTCATCGTTGCCTTTTTTAACCACTGTCAATTTCAGAAAGTTAAATGATGACGGATGCCTGATAGGGATAGATTAGGCCAAAGATTGCAGCAGCAAAAGACAACGYATATTTTAGCAAATCAAGTAGATTTGACAAGACAGAGAACACCACATTAACTTCAGTAAAACATAGGAATCGTATTTGAACCAATGCCACAATGACAATATACCAATCAACAAGCATCTGCAAGTACGAGAATATCATGATTGATAAATACATGCCATAAAATATAGCAAAGCAAAATTRTCRTCTTCATCCTTATCAAAAAAAGACCATACTTATATAGCCGTCCAGGTCGCACCAAGGCTCGACACCTCAGCTAAGATACACAATCATATTCAATCTTCTACAAGCAGTGAAAGAAAATTTCCGCAACAAACATTATCATCTAGAAATCACTCTTTTCCATACGGTTTAAAATTTTCAGGCGGTATCCCATTGTACTTATCCATCTCATCCAAAAAGTACCTTGATGGGCCGTCCTCGAAACGATCCAAGTTGGCTTCGAAAAGTATCTTTGCTTCATCCCAGTCTTTTGAATAAAATTTTCGTAAACCAAGGTTATACGTATCAAAAAAAGGAGTCGTGTACCGTCGCCGTATGCGTTTTATGTCTTTCTGAAGCCACAAGTTCTCAGAGTACAATGCAGGACCTGTAGGAAGCACAAGCTCGCGAACTTTCTTTTTTGTTGCTTCTTCGATAGATTCTGCAGTCGAAATATGACCAGTTCGCAACGCTTTTGCAGTAGCAGCAGCGATTGCCGCTTTTATGTGTTGGTTGTCGGCCCTCAAGCTTCCCGAGTTTGAATTATTACTTTTCCGCGTTCCCGATCTACTTCGCCTTGACAATATCCCAAAACTGCCACGACTTAGATCTCGTATGGAACCAAACATTCCCGACAAATCACCGTCGGTGATGGACAGGCTTTCGCTCGACTCATCTTCATCACTTTGTGAATCCTCGAACAGAGCATCTACATCAATATCATAAGTAAAAAGCTCCAGAAGTTTTCCTTGATTGTTATCGTCTTCCCTACAAAAATCGATGTATTCATCTTCGAACATGAGGCGATCAATCATCCGGCACTTTGCCCGTCTACTTTTTTGAAGGAGACGATGGAAACTACCAGACATCAGCATGTTTACKTTGTACTTCTTCGTTGACGTTTCGAGGTATTCAGCTCTTTCTACAGCCATCGAAACGTATGTGGCATCAATTTTGCGTTGCGATCCTATCGCTCCCTCGATCGCCTTTCCTGCGTGTAAGCCAAAACCCAGCTGAACAATTGGGCCTGGTCGGTCCTTGAATTTGGYCAATAGAGCTGCTTTTGCATGATCTGAAAGTAGCCCAACATAAAAGTCATCATGATGAAGCGCGATTGAAATCTTCACGACAGATAAGAGGGCTTTGTCTGCCTGATGACGTGTAGCTAGACCGTTGCGGCTTCCATGATTTCCACTATGGACCTCATCCAACTTCCAACTTACAAGGAAAGCATCTCCGATATTCTTATTTGCAGAACCTCCATAAGAACTACAGATAGAATGAACCACGGCAGCAACTTGGTTTGTAAATGCAAAAACCTCTTCTTGAAGACATTCAGTAGCGTCAGTGAAGCTTCGAATGTCACAAAACAAAAAGATGCAAGAAACCATAGAGCCTTCTGAGTTCAATATCAATGTACCAGTGTCATTGTTATCACTTTTTTGAAGGCTGTTTCTGATGATTTGGGCTCCAGCAGACCCGAAGCCGACTTTCATCAAAGAGCCAATTCGGACGATTGTGGACATGAGAAAATCTGTTTCCATTCCTTTCAACACTTCTTTCGACCATCGACTAGTTTTGGCATTAAAATCCGACTCCGTTAAAAACTGCTTGTACTGCAGTGTATTTTGGTAACCCAACGGATCCATTACAAGCATACTCAAGAGCTTGACTGCCCGCTCGATTGGATTAATAACCAATGTTATGATGGGTCCAGCAAAAGCAGCTACTCCAAAAAACCAAGTAAGTAGAACACAAAATGTAAGAAGCAGTTCCATCWTAGCSTTCTYATCAACGAAAGCTTCTCTGTCGATCAAACCAGTGCTGACTCCACCCAATTCGTCTTTGACTGTGACATTTAGCGTGTTAACTGGTCGATTTTCAGGTTGTTCTCCAAACGTCCAGTTAAAGTTAATATTTTTTTTCATCGATGATGCAGAATAAGAATAWAGGTTTGGAAYGGTACTGCGACGAGCTGTATCTACAGCTTTCCACGCAAAGTCTGTTGYTTGTGTCGTTGTTTGCCCATGCAAAACAACCATCGTTGAAGCCACCGTCGTGTCTCGTTCGGTGTACGTMARWWCTAAGGTCAGAATCAAGTTGATCACAAGAAATATGGCAACACTTCGCCCCGTCAATCCAGCCATTGCCGTCCCAACTTGAGACGGGTCTACTTTCTTCTTTCGTTTCCGTCTCAACTTTCGGTTGTTARAGCCTTCCTTTTTTGGGCTCGCTAGAGCATTATTTCTCGACATACGAAAAGTGCTTCCATCCCAGAAACTTCCGCCAGCATGAGAGTTGGAGTCAACTGTGCTCCTCCAGGCTTGGCTTCCCTCGCCTCCCGGATGCGGTTCCCCRTATTCTGCATTGCGATTTCTCCATGCCCTTTGAATTCTAGTTGCAGCAATTTGACGTTTTAACTCTAAAYTTGTGCCGGGTAGAATATGGAAAAACCGTAAGGCTTGAATTAAGATATTGCGACCAAAAAGTTTGTTCCAGGTTCRAACAAGAAGTGGTAAAGGCAAGAGTTTGAATGAGCTGGGTGAATATGGCGCCTGAMTTGTTTCTTTGTCATAATCAATGAAAAGCTTTTCAGAAGATCTTTTCAACTTACTATTTTCTATCCGGGTTTTAAGTATGTACCATGCATATGCAACCTTCCCTTTTTGTTTCATCTCTTTTTCAACCTTTTTCCTCGCTCTCATCATAGCAACAGCTCCAATCTCCAGATCTCCCCACGAAGAACGTGCCAAGGCCGGATTCCTTTTCATTCGTTTGGCACCTGCACGTCGTTCGCGGAACAACCCACAGTAGAAGGAAGGAGTAAGGCGCACCAAAAACCAAAACACGTTGATTTTTGTCGAAATCTCAACTACCTTCGTCGGCGGTACCAATCGAGCTACCCGTAATGTCTTGAAAATCAAMATTATGAGGCTYWTACTGTCTGGTCTTRCCACCAGATGTTCGGTACTGATGAAGAGGTTATTCAAAATAAGAAGAAACGCAAATTTAGATATGTCACTACTTTCTTTTCCTTTGTTCACTTGCTCAGACATGCGCAAACACAATGCGCACAAGAGATGCATTCCATTACCCCATGCCAAGCATCACTCCGTACTACTCACCCGGTTCCTTTTGCAAATTCGCCAGGATTCTTAATCATGCGAGAAAGGCGAAACAAATTAGATACTTTTTCATATCTTTATAAGTTTTCAATCCAATATGTTTCCATATACATGAAAGGTCGAAACGAGTAAACTAAAGGACTATCAACTGATCCTCATCATTACTCACCGGAAATCCAAATTTATTCAGCTCGATTATCTGAATTGCCGAAGCAAATCTCCATTGGAAGAAGATACTGATTTCAACCAGGAAACACATCGTAGAARCAAAATCACACCAAAACCCGAATGATCCCACAAAGCCAAGCAAATATGAGCCTCGATTCACGCACACATTTTTGTTTATTCTGTGGTTCGGATTGCAAGGAACGAAAGGGAGGTAGTTTGGATCCAAATAGGAATGCAAGATCATGTCTATCGCAAAGATGACAAACCCAATGAAATATGATACATCCATTACCTTATCACCAGAAGGCGGAATTAGCCAGAGTTGAAAGGGAGGGCCGAATAACAACAGTATCGTCAATAGTACAATAAGGATTTTCCACAAAGCATGATTCACAATTCCATAAGAGGCATTTTGCAGCCAGATATCAACGCAAGTGCATCCACGGCGCAACCGGTACATCACTCCGTTCGACACTCGAGTTTGATCTCCATGTTGGGAGACATCAGGGGGCGAAACGCTCGCCATTGTACAATATTCACTGATGGAATTCAATTCTTTTCAAGTGGATTGTGGCCTGTGACTATAACTCTGGACATCGTCCTATTGTTTGACTGAGGAAAGGTATATTTGTTTGATTGATACGTCAAGGGTCGACCGAAAGAAAAAGGATCCGTGCAATGTCGGAGTCCTGAGTTTTTGGTATGAAAGTTTTTTTTTCCCGCGTTACAAATGATTAGAAATGAATAAAGAATGAATTTGAATCGTTTGGGTCATARAAAGTACTTTTTTCGTCCTGTAATTACTACTTTGAGATTGGTATCATATTTGGAAGCCATAGGATGCTCTACTAGCTGCTTAAACTTGTCTGCTGAAGCAACTCTAGACCACCAGACTAAGGGCCTAGTCCAAGTTGATATGATTACTTAGAGATTGGTATTACTACGCGTTTCGTAACAATTGAAACCCC